GAATTTTGATATCTCCATTATTTCGTTAGATATCGCAATGGGTAAATCCTCGCGGGACACCCTGTATTCTTACCTTTAAATTTTATGAAAGGTCAATTTAAATATTAAAWATAAAAATTAATTAATTAATTAAACATAAAAATAAAATATTCACTCTAACTTTTCAACTAATGGAGCAAGGCGTGATCTGYTGAGTGTGATTTGCCATGTTGCGCATTTGTAAAACAGAGACAACACGTCATGCGGGTATCACGTCCTTTAAAGTGTAGGTAGGTACCATAGGAGAAACTATAGGTCAGGCCACTAAGGCCATGGCCTGACCTAATACTAACTGGATAATACAGGGTGATTCATTTATCAAACAACACTCATTATTTCAAAAACTATTGGCTTTTTTCAAAATTTTAGATCTTGTTCTAGAACTATATATTTTTTTAAATGTTTTCACCCTTATATTTATCAGGTAAACCATTATCAACTTTTGATTTTCAAATGACAACCTATACTTAAAAATGTCATAAACTAAAAAGGCTATTTTTTCAATGAATTTTTACGTTTAAATTTTCAATTTTTGTTAATCCGTTTACAAGATATAGCCTCCCAAAGTTGGGTGGTTTTGTGTGTTATAGGTGTATGTCAGGTGGTATTTACACACGAACACTATACAAGTGTTGTTTGATAGAAGAATCACACTATATACTGACATAATAAAATTTAAAATTAAATAAAAAAACTTATTTTATAAYTAGAATTTTTTTCATATTTTTCATTTGGCCTGTCCTAATACAATTTTCTAGTTTCGCCTATGGTAGGTACATTTAATTTTTATGTTATATAATTTATATTTTATTAAATTATATGTTAACATGATTTTATATTGCAAAAAATTGCTTAAATATGAACAATTGAACTGTTTGACCTGAACAGAATTGAGAACCAATTTAACATGTGAAGTAAAGGCTTGGTAACTAAATTGGAACCAGTCCTATTAAATATTTATCAAAATCAAAATAGTACTATTAAATAAAATATCTCATAATATCAAGACGTAAATTTATTTCTTACCCTATTTTTAATGATTGATCATCATTAATATTATATCCTTCATCAATAGTTTCCTGTTTAATAAATTGGTCACATCTAATCAGCGGAATTGTCAATTTTCTAGAACTTTTTAATATATAACCATACCTAAAAGAAATTGCAAAAATATTAATTGTTAGGTAAGTAATTATTGTTATTATTAGATACAACTAGAATACATAAATTATAAGACAACCTAGTACTAGAAAATATAATTCTTTCAGAATATAAGTTAAAAATTACATTTTGTAATATTACACTTATAATTTATTTGCTTACTTGGAATTTATCCCGGAATCGTTGAATGTTTGTTCCATACTGTCTTCTTTATTGTTCAATAACTGTATTTTTTATGTCAACCTCATCAATTGGTGGTAGGTGCTGAGTGAGCTATTCCATCAATTTTTTGGTGAAATATCTTTTTTGGCCATAAATAAATTTAAAACGGCTGTTAGACTTATTAATAACAAATATAATCTTAAAGAGTTTAACATATGGTAATAATGACTTTATGTCAAATTTCTTAGCAAAATTAATTTGTATTAATAAGGTAGATGGTTGTCACAAAACGATTATTATAATGATATTGTAATAATGATATACAATTACAGAACAATCAAGATTTTCAAGAAGAATTTGATGCGTATCGATACGTACCGACTCGTATTGAAGTCTAAGACCGATACAGGCCAGTATGTATCACTTGTATAGTGAACGTGTATCTTCTTAAACACTCAAAATTAAATCGATACGTATCGATACACTCCAATTTCTTCCTGGAAAATCTTGAACATGTAAAAATTTTCGATCTAAAAACTAATGAGAAATTGGCYGTTATAGTTTTGAATTCTATAATGTTGGTATCTACTATCAATATTATGCTTGGGATAGAAATTCTTAAGTTGCAATTCAAAATTGTTTTTCCAAGATTTTCATGTCAACAACGAGATCTATAGAAAATAATTTGCAGGTAGAAACAATTCTTAAATTTTAACTAATACATTGAAATAGACATTGTATAATTTAATTTAAGTAGCATTAAGTGATGCAGAAATTGTTAATGGTGCATTTAATAAAATGACGGCAAAGAAGAGATATAATGAAATTACGAAGAGTAAAATTGTATTTCAATAGAAATATTCAATTTAATCAACAAAAAAAAGATGTACTAGGTAAATTGACTGTATGGTTAGAATAATGAGAAAATACAAGTAATGTAATTATTACCTTTAATTTTGATAGTACCTAGGTAATTATGTTGATTCAAATTAAGATAAGTAGGTACTTCACAAAATCGGAACTGCCGAGTACTAAACACAAATGTAACAGCAAGTGCACTTTTGTTAAATGGAAACAACATAATATTGAGGGGTCCTCTTAAGACTTAATATAAGGTATACGGTAGTTAATTTTTGTTTTATAATACTTACCACTCGTTGGTTAACATTTAGGTTGATAATAATATTAAAGTTGTTTCTGAAAATTAGAGTAAGTGCCGAATATTTAATGCTTACTTTTAATAACAATAGAAACAATAAACAAACACAATTAATAAGAATAAAAATAAATAAATAATTGCAGATTGTATTATAATTAATACCTTACACGTAAGCAAGGGAATTTCGAATCAGTAAAGAATTASTAATTATTACTATGGTCTACACTCTACAATATTAATAAGTGGTAATGTGGCGAATGTGGCATGTGTCCATGTGGGGGGGACCACTGGGATCCCCATACAGTATACACGATTACATTACACAAACGAACACTCRACCGTCTCGAACTCTCGACCACAACGGCACAAGGCACAACCGCACAACCACAGAATATATGAAATCAGAACGGACACCTCGGCCGCCCGAAAAACAGTCCGCCATATTGAATGCAAGCACCAGTATTACATATTATATTCTGTGGCAGTGTGGCACAACGTCCAGTTACTTGTATTATCTATTCTCTTTGATTATTATTATTATTATTATTATTATCTGCGAATGAAGAGCTGGTTACTCTCGGTTATAAACGGTTGCTGGTTATAGATATTGATTTATGATAAAGATATGGTTTTTGAATTTAATAAATATTTTTATTTTAGTTATCAATTTARTGTAGGTCCACTGTCCACTAGGTCCCCTATACTATATTATATATTTATATTACTATTATTTAATTATTTTTAATTTAAAAGAATTTTTAACATTAAAAACATTATTGTAAAATAATATACATTATGTTTGTATTGGAGATCAAAATATCACTTCATAAAATGACTTATAAACATTGAACCGAAATTATTAAACTATTTATATGATTATTATAACTCGAAAATAAAAATTGTATTTTAAATATATAGGATTTACGATATTGATATATAATTTGGTCGATTCTAAATAATGTATTAACCAAAATAAAATCAAAAAAAATCTTGGAGCTTATTCTTATTGGTGATAATATTAATGCGATAAATACTAAAAAACTAAATGGTAACCAGAGTCCAGAGCCCAACTAAAGATTTTTGGGGCCCAAGTCTAATGTTTTGATTAATTTATAGTTTATACTTAAACCAAGATTAATAAAACTTAAATAAGTTAAAAGGTTTACAAACAAAGCAATACACGTTGCCAGTWTATTAAGAAAACATGAGCGGTTTACATGAGTGTACAGTGTACTTCATCATCAGGAAATTTAAATTTAAATTCGAATACCTAATTATGTAATTAATGAGCAATTTTTTTTWAATTTTTTTTATAAATAAATATATTTATAATCTGTAATATAATAAAACAATAAGTAAATTTGAGATTTTTTTTAACAAGGTTCGGAGGCTTGAGTGAAGCATACGTCCATTGACTCTACTTCAAACTGATTTTTTTTTTTATTYAGCGAAGTAAATCACGATGCCAATTTCGTTTTAGTCGACGAGGAAGGTTATCCGGGAGAAGTTTAGAGGTTAATGAGCAATTATAATTTTTTTCGAAATATTGAGTTTTATTTGAGATCCATATTCTGTAAAATTGCTAGTTCTTTTAGCAACATAATTCTAAAAAAATGTTKTTTTACATTAATGGCCACATTCCCATTTCCCGGATCTTGATATAATTCAATATTAAATTCAAAATTATGAACATCTAAATTAAAGTTAATAAATTAATTGTAATCACTGAATTTTCTACTACTTTAAAAAAACATTCTGATTTACTTTAGATCAAAATATCAAAATCAAATATTGAAATATGTACAACCTGAAAGACTGAAAAGTCGGTTCAGAGAATTGATATTGTTTAGTGTTTACAATTACAATAGCCAATAAGTAATGACAAAGATGGCGGTCGATTATATTAGATAAAAAATTTAGAAAATTACTATCATCCGTCTACAAATGTGCTATGGTCATATATATATGATGGCGTTAAAACGCTCGCACTATGTAATTTAAGAATTTAAAACTGATTTAATTTCAAACCGCTTTAACTCCGTCATCTAAATGTAGTAATAGATAATATGTGTACTATTTTTAGGTCAATCGATCTATCGTATATTAGTATATTACACCTATAGTGGTCGTGGCTACGACTTACCATGTTATATAGTTTATTATGTTCCGATTTCAACAAACTGATTATCAATATTATTATGATAAAAATATTTTTAAATACTATTTTTTAACAGCCAAAAATGTACTGTGAGATATATTACTAATTATTATTACCCAGTACTCGCATACATTTTATATCACATTGACTCGATCATTCAAAATATTTAATATAATATATTTAAATATTTTATGAATTTATTTAAAATTATTTATAATATTATATTTTTACCTTAATTTTTTGAATGATAAATAAAATATATAATAATTATTTGCAATTCAATATTAAAATAATTTCCATCCGGTTAGGAATAATATTGTAGTTTGAGGATATTTTTTCCCTGGGTCGGTGATTTTTTTTCTGGGGTCGTTGGTCAGAGGATTTTTCTCCTGGGATTTTTATTCCGATTTCCGTGCTTTAGCGTTGGCTTTTATAATCAATATTTTTATTTTCAAGTGAGATATGAGCATTTTTAATTTTTTATATTACACATATTATCCATTTCTTGATCGAAAGTGAAAATATTAAAGATTAAAGAATCACCGACGCTTTAACACATATAATTTAGTTCTTACCTAAAGGTTTGATGATTGGTCAATAGTCAATTTACTCAAAACTAACAGCACACTATTAAAACTAGTGAATAACAAATTTCCATGTCATACGTTTGTAAAAGTAAGACGGATACGACAAAGCACATAGTGTAATCAACTTTGTTTCTTGAAAAACGCAAATCTCCATTATAAAAACACCGTAGGAACATGTCTGAGGAGAAATTGTAGCGGCGCCAATTTTGTTTGTTCTGTATTGGGAGTTAGTTTTAAATTTTTGAACGATCTATTTTAATAATAAATACAAACGTGAAAAATGTTTATTACTTACATTACTTTGAAAAGAGATTCGCGCATTTTCGTATCGTAGGTATACCAACATACCTACGAAAAATTATTTTTTTATACATAAGCACACAGTTTTTTGTGCTAACATATGTAGATAATCTGATAAGAATATGAATGTTATATATTTAAGTTGGTTAACACCACAGTCCATAGAACAATACCAGACGTGACCACAGTTCACAGTTCTCAACTAAAATACAGTAAATACAGTAAAATAGGTAGGTACGTTCTTCGGTTTTGATAAATAGTAAATACTATATTTAAAGCATTATATTAAAAATTTTTTCGTAAAAAAAAAATATTCCATTTTATCAATTGTTAATTGTTGGTGTATTCCATTAGTTCTTAATTCTATACATTATAATGGCAAGCGATGAAACACCTTTGGCAAAAGCGATAGCGAACTACAGACCTCCTCCAATAACTAAAGACACTGCAATCAATTACTACGCCCCGGCATTTGGCACAGTAAACTATGCGTTTTTATCCATCAATGTGATGAACCCCGGTATTTTTCAAAGGTAATTGATGAATTTAAAAAGAATATCACATTGCCCAATGGCTAATTGGTATCCTGTTTTCGTTTAGAGTTCTACCGAAACCAGACCTCACAAATATATTTTTATTCAACTCTTGCCTTGGGTCGTTTCTATTTATTGCCGGACGCCCACATCTCAGTGAAGCGCCTCTCAAACTACGCGTAGCATACAGGTAAAAATGTTCATTCAAACCAAGCATTAACTTAACATGTTTTGTAATAAATGTTTTTGTATGTTCTAGCGTGTATGGATCAATTTTGTTCAACATGGGATCAGTATTGTCATGGGCCATTTTACGTAGTCTATTGCCGAATAACTCTGGTTTAACCACTGTTACTGGTCTAATTTCAGGATTAGCGTTGACTGGTTGTGGTGTTGCATACTTGAGTTACAATGACAAAGCCGTTAAAGCGAATAAAAAGTAGACATTTGTTTTTATGGTGATTACTTAGTTTAATTAAATTCCTAAGTTCTGTAGAAATTTAATTCCAATTTCATAGAGGGCTGATTTTTTTTTTTT